TTGCAAAGGTTCATCCAAACATATCAAATGTTTGAATGCCAAAACTGAACCCAGATGAGGTCAATTCAAGTGGAATCTTTCAAATGTATTTTCTCTATTGTTTAAGGCTAATAGCAAGGGATTACCATAAAATGAATGGGGGCTGGAACTGCCCCAGGGGCCATGTGCCAATGCAAAAAAAAAAAAAATAAATAAAAATACTGTTTTGCATGGAACAGCGAATTTAACCACTTGCCCTCTAGAGGATTTACCTCCTTAATGACCAGGTCTTTTCTTGCTACTCAGCGCTGCACTGATTCAACTGATAATTGCGCAGTCATGCAATGTTGTACCCAAACAAAATTTACGTCCTTTTTTTCACACAAATAGAGATTTCTTTCGGTGGTACTTGATCACCTGTGTGCTTCTTATTGTTCACGCTATAAACAAAAAAAAAACCGAAAATTTTGAAGAAAAATTATATTTTTTACTTTCAGCTATAAAAAATATATAGTAAACTCAAAGTTAGTTAATAAAATTTAGACCAAAATGTATTCTGCTACATGTTTTTGGTAAAAAAATCCCAATATGTATATATTGATTGCTTTGTGTGAGAGTTATAGCGTCTACAAACTATGGTATAGATACTGCATTTTTTGCTATACAGTTCTGCACTAGTTTAACTGACAATTGCGCGGTCATGCAATACGGTACATAAATTAAATGTATGTCCTTTTTTCAGACAAATAGAGCTTTCTTTTGGTGGTATTTTATCACCTGTCGATTTGGGGGCGTTTTATGGGGCGTTTTTATGCCCTGCATTTGAAGTTTATGCCACACATCATTCACTCTTCTAACCACCTGAAGACCAAGCCTTTTTCTGATACTTTTTGTTCACATGAAAAAAAAAACTGTATTTTTTTCTAGGAAATTAATTTAAACCCCAAACATTATATTTTTTTAAAGCAAACACCCTAGTGAATAAAATGGTGGGTGCTGCAATTTTATTATGTCACATAGTACTAGCGCATCGATTTTTCAAACGCAATTTAAAAAATAAAAAAACTTTTTTTACTTTTAACGCACAAAAACACAATATATTGGCCAATTATTTGGTAAAATATAAAAGATAATGGAATGCCAAATAAATAGATACCAAACATGACATGCTTTAAAACTGTGCATGCCCCGTTTGCCAATGGCAAACTGCATACATTTTTAATATCCATAGGCAACATTTTAAAAGCCTTTACAAGCTACCATTTTTAGATTTACAGAGGAGGTCTAGTGTTAGAATTACTGAATTGATCTGACCTTGGTGGTGATACCTCACATGCATGGTGCAACTGCTGTTTCCATACTGGCACAGGGTCAACGCTCATTAATTGCAGGTGCGCAGGGGGGTGAGCGTACTTTTTTTTTTTAAGTTATTTTGATTTTTTCAATTATTTGTTAATTTATTTTTAATGCTATCACAGGGAATGCAAATATCCCCTAAAACTTCAATGGGCATTGTCATATATTCTTTTTTCAGAAATCTGGGTTCTATCAGACTCTAGATATCTCCTCTGCCCTTTCATTATCTAATCAAACCAAGATCAGTGTGATCAGGTGCTTTCCCAATTTTCAAAATGGCGCTGTTTATATCTTGCAAAACTGAAGTGATGAAATTCTCGTAGCTTCTGATTTCTTAGGCAATAGATATGATTGGCACCATACTGGTCTCCAATCAGCTCCATGGTCAGCTGGCAGAAACACCGGCTGCATCTTCAGGTTCCCCCGATGGCACGGGACTGCCCGAGAAGGCCATGGAAGGCAGCGGGGGAGGGGGGGGGCATTGTCTCCCGCTGCTTGTAAAAGCAATCCTGCAGCTAATTAGCCACTAGGATTTCTTTTTACATGAAAGCCGATTGCCAGCTAAAAATAATGATACCAGGATGATGCCTGAAGCTGTAGGTATCATCCTGGTATAACAATTCAAAGTTCAGTGATGTATTAGTACATCGCTGAACTTCAAAAGACCTTCCAAGGGGTCGTAAAGACAGACTTACTTTTAAAAACTCACTTTTTTCATATAAGTTTATATCTTCACGTAGAACATAATTACCTAAACACGGAGCCATATTTGGAAGGCTCAATTTGAGGCCATTCTCCTGGTATGTTACACCCCTTAACTGGCATACATAGAAAAACAGAAAAGTGTAGCTCCTGAACCATTCAAGTGTCTATGACATGTTTTATCTCTAACCATTCTGCAGCTGCGACTGAATATTAATATACTAGTGGCCAGGCCGGCAAGTGCCCCTAGACCAAGTTATGAATCTTAATAGCAGCTAGGAGAGTTTCTGGGTATAACTTAAGTCTCCTCCTACACTCCCCTCCCCAAAAAGGAGATGATTGGTTTGCTACTCCAAAGAGACACCCTGCTGAGATCCTAGAAAAAGGGCTGTTATGCTTGGAGTTGTGTGTGAGAGAGAAAGAAGAGTCTCCCATTTAACATCGAAACTGAGTGAGAGACAAGTAATCCTTTTTGAGCTCATAAGACTTGAAACTGCTTAAACCAAGGCTGATTGGCAAGTACTTTAACCCTTTAAACTCCTTTCTGTTTTCTCTTTGCTGTGCTATTGTTCTCTGTATATTTATATATATATTGGTCACATCTTTTTTCTGTAAATATTTTTATCGCACCCTTTTGACCTTTTAGTAATAAATCTTACTTTCTGAAAGTGTTGAACTGTTTCTAAAGCTCTTTAATGCAAATTACGAATTCATGCTGCTGAAGAACGCTGCTGTGTGTGTTTAACTCTCTGTATAACCTGTCTGCGGTGACAGTGGTATACAGACGATTATTTCAACCATCATAGTGTATTGCTGATATTGCCGAGTTTTCCTCTTTCTCTGTACAAAAAGGTGGTGGCAAGTGTGAGGGTTAATTGCGCAATTAACCTGACCCAGTAACAATCGCTTCCAGGCTGCCGATACACAGACTGTGGTCCATTAGCTGGAAAAACTGTGTGCAGGGCGCAGCTGGGCGAGGCATTGTTACGCACATGACATTGCGGTTTTAGAATGGCTAAGTCCTTCGGTCACGAGTTTGGTGAGAAGGGCAGGGTCTGACGTCGCGATCGTCACACCCCATATGGGAAAAGGATGACACCAAGTCCCAAACTATCTTTCCACTACTCCCCATGTAGCCTGTAATCTTTTCCCTTGTAAATCCAAAACTTATATGTATAGCCTGTTTGCCCTCTCACAGGTCTTCTACATCTTGACCCCATATCTGGCATGCTTGCTGGGGAGAAATTGTTTGAATGCAAAGTGACCAGAAAAATTAATGAGGCTCTCATCAACACAGATTTTTTTGCTGGGGAGTATAGACATCTGCAAATTTTTGGTTAAGGTGATTTACGAGGGGCTAAATTTTGTGTAGCCGGTCAAATTCAGGGTCACCTCCAGGACGACAGAGTGTATTGTCATTGAAATGCATAAAACAAATGATACTCCTCATATCTATTGCCTGGCCATGGCAGCAGAGAACACGGTCATAATTGAATCAGGTCTGTGGACCAATACAACCGCAATTCATTTTATTTAGTAATGCCCATGTTAAATTCGAAACCCGTAAATACAACCGCAATTCATATTATGAGTTTCCATGCAATTGGTCTGGCAAGGTTTGAATTTGGGAAAAACAGCTCCAAAAAATCAAGGGGAGGAGTTAAATTAGCTGTTTCCACCTGAATTCGGGTTGGGCAGTGAATGGGGGAAGTACGGGTGCTGCAAAATTTGTGGGCTGCGAATCGGGATTTGCAAGCACATCCAGAAGGATACTAGGGGCTCTAGGGCCTGTGTGCGAATTCTTGGTGTTGCGGACAATACTTGTGCTCGCCACCGCACCATCTTGTACTGCACTTATGGGACTCGCCATGTCACGAAGTCATGCTGCAGTGCTGGTATTATTATTATTATACAGGATTTATATAGCGCCAACAGTTTGCTCAGCGCTTTACAATATACCGGGAGACAATACAAAGCAACAATACAGTTCAATACAAGAGGGTTAGGAGGGTCCTGATCCTGGGAGTTCAGGCCTGATTCTGCGAACACTGCGGTTTTTGTGTGCAATGTATCAAGTGACAGTGACCTACTGACACTGCACTTGCTGGGGGAGAAGGAGGGGGGGTAAGTGTAGGGGCAAACGCAGGTGTTGGCAGGTTGCTGGGGCTGATCCCACTAAAGCTGCATTTTTGGGGATGCTATAACTAATGTGACACTGGTATAGTGCTGATCTGATTAAAGATATTGATCCGTTCCGACACTACAGTACACTAGCAATGGAAGCTTATTGTGTATGAGCGTCTTCCTGGCGATCAAGGGGTTAAATGTGATGACTGGTGTACTGACGGGCACTCTGAAGCTATCTGGGAGGGGGGCGTGAAAACCACGGAGCACGAATCATGTATATATATATGTGATGTTTGGGCACCTGTGCTGCCTTGTAGCAGTATTTCTGCTATAGGGCAGTCAGGAAACGGTTACATAAGAGGTTTTTCTTATGGCGCTGCATTAATGTAACTGACAATTAACGCAGTCATGCAAAGCTGCACCAAAATTAAATGTACATCCTTTTTTCCCCCCCACTAATTGGGCTTTCTTTTGGTGGTATTTGATCGCCTGTGCGGGTTTTTATTTTTTGCGCTATAAAAAAATGCCGACAATTTTGAGAAAAAAAACTACCGTATTTTTTTGCTCCCTAAGACACACTTTTTTTCCCCTCAAAAAAAGGGGGGGAAAATGTTACTGTGTCTTATGGAGCGAATATGGAGCGGGCCGGTCTGGTATTTCCGCCTCCGCCACCGTGTCAGAATACCGGTCTGGCCGCTCAGCTCTTCTCTGCAGCAAGACCTTACCTGTTCCTCAGTCCAGTGCTGTAGAGTCTTCCATCGCTGGCATCTTTAGTGTGGGCACCCGGCTGTAACAGCCGGTGCCCACTGCGCATGTGCAGGAAGCGCTGCGCTTTGTGCATGGCCCGGCATTTTCTGGGACACATGACTGGTTCCAGAAGACGCCGGGCCATTCACAAAGCACAGCACTTCTCGTGCATGTGCAGTGGACACACGGCTGTCAGCCGGGTGCCCACACTAAAGGAGGACAACTCCGCGGAAGTGGGAGCGGGTAACTCTCAAATTCAGGTACCCGCTCCCCCTCCCTCCCCAAAGGTCCGCAGTCTCTTGGTCATCCCCTGCACTGTCTGCAGTCTCTGGTCATCCCCTGTACTGTCTGCAGTCTCTAGTCATCCCTGTACTGTCTGCAGTCTCTGGTCAACCCCTGTACTGTGTCCGCAGTCTCTGGTCATCTCCTGTACTGTGTCCGCAGTCTCTGGTCATCTTCTGTACTGTGTCCGCAGTCTCTGGTCATCTGTTCTATGCCCGCAGTCTCTGGTCATCTCCTGTACTATGTCCGCAGTCTCTGGTTATCCCCTGTACTGTGTCCGCAGTCTCTGGTCATCTCCTGTACTGTGTCCGCAGTCTCTGGTCATCTCCTGTACTGTGTCTGCAGTCTCTGGTCATCTGTACTGGGTCCGCAGTCTCTGGTCATCTCCTGTACTGTGTTTACAGTCTCTGGTCATCCCCTGTACTGTGTCCGCTGTCTCTGGTCATCTCCTGTACTGTGTCTGCAGTCTATGGTCATCTCCTGTACTGTGTCCGCAGTCTCTGGTCATCTGTACTGTGTCCGCAGTCTCTGGTCATCCCGTGTACTGTGTCCGCATTCTCTGGTCATCTCCTGTACTGTGTCTGCGGTCTCTGGTTATCTCCTGTACTATATCCGCAGTCTCCGGTCATCTCCTGTACTGTGTCTGCAGTCTCTGGTCATTTTCTGTACTATGTCTGCAGTCCATTGGTTCAGAATATTTTTTTCTTGTTTTTCACCTCTAAAACCTAGGCACGTCTTATGGAGCAAAAAATACAGTATATTTTGGACTTTTTGCTATAAAACCTGTCCAGTAAAAAAATTAAAAATCAAATTTCGTCATAAATTTCGGCCAAAAATGTATTCTGCTACATGTCTGTGCTAAAAAAAAATCCCAATACGTGTAAATTAATTGGTTTTACGTGAAAGTTATAACATTTACAAATAGCGGTATAGATACTGGATTTTTTTGTTATACTAATAATAGTGGCGATCAGCGACTTATGGCGGCAATCAGCAACTTCTGGTGGCAATCAGCGACTTATGGTGGGACTGCAACAGACATTCTGACACTGTGGGGGGAACTGACTTGGGGTCACTGACATCCCCAGTGACACCAATACAGTGATCAGTGCAAAAAAAAACACTGACACTGTACTAATGGCACTGGGAAGGAAGGGGTTAACTTTTGGAGACAATCAAAGGGTTAACTGTGTAAAGGGAGTGTTTTAATAGGGGGTGGGGGTGTGTGCCTCTCTGTTACACACTATTCCGGAAGGCTGTGTCCAGAGATCCCAGAACAGTGTGCTGAAAGCTGACAGGGAGGTGAGCTCCATTGAAAACAATGCAGCCTTCCTCCCCGTTGGTGTGTGCCGGCAATCGCCAGTCTCCGGCGGGTTATCGCCCGGTGATTGACCCGCGGCCGTGATCAGTGCCGCGGGTAGGGCGGTCGTGCTCCTTGCACATGCCCCCTACCCCAGAGAATGCAGGATCACGTTTAAATACCTGATCCTGCACACAGGGGCCGCCTTGTAGCAGTATATGTACTGGGGGCTGTCCCCTAGTGGTTAATAATGCTGAAATCACAACATTAAAAATGTATTATTCCTTTAAAAACCTGCTTGGGGGGGGGCACACTCCCTACATTACTTTGTACAGTAAAAAAAAGTAGTATAACAAAAGCAATTTTTAAAAAAGGAAAAAAAAACTACCGTAAATGTTAATTCACATTTCCTTCAAGCATCCTTTATTTTGTAACTAATGTATTGACCCCCCCCCCCCCCAATACATACCATACCATTCATGATGGAAGTTTACAGGGAAAACTTAATTAACTACTTTATAGAATCAATCACTTTTATTATACATGTGTAGCACTGCCCCCTTAGGAGTTGCTGAAATTTTGGGTCCCTCTATAGTCCTGCACAGCCAAACAACATACATTTTCACATAGTCGTGCATCCAGGAGTCAGTGACCAGTCCTTGGACTTTGTTTTTGTGATTTTATTAGATGATTGTAACTTGGATAGGGGTGTACGGAATGCCCAATGGAAATGTACCTTTGAACAATCTTCCTGAACTATGTACAAGTGTTTACAAAAACTCCTCGCTAGCCAGCATCTTCTGTTGTACTACCCCAGACCCTAGATTCTCCTAATCCAGCTGTTCTGGGTGAATCTCACAGTGGGGGGAGCCAGTGTCTGCCACATGAATGGTGAAACAGTCCTGGGTGACAGGCTAATCCGGTTTAACTCTAGAGTGCCTCCTTTCCTATCTGGCCCTCACTCCTTCCATCATTCTCCTGTGCTGCTGGTGGGTCGGTGGCTGCTACCAGGCCTTTTAGCTGGGATGCTCCTTCCCTGACTCCCAGGTGGTCCTCTCTCAGGGGGCTGGTGAAGTCCCAAGATTTCCTCCTTCCAAGGTCCTCTTCCTGTAGGTGAGCCCCTCTCCATCTGGGCCTCCTCACAGGCTCCTGTTCTTCATCTTCACATCCTTTCCATCTTCCACCTGAACTGTCTACTCTCCACTTTCCTGCATGCTCAGCAGGCTCAGTTACTCTTAAAAGCCATCCTGGCCCCTTGCCAAGCCTTGTGTTGGGGATTGGCCAGGATCATTTAAGAGTACAGACGAGCTACTCCTCAGATCTGCCCATTGCTTTCTAGATATTTCTCCAAAGTTCTAGAGCAGGGGGAAATTCCAGAGGACTGGTCTGTAGAACCTCTCAGCTCTGACCACAATTTGATCCCTGCTAGCTATCACACCCAGGCTGCTACTCAGAGTTCCTAGCTGACTAGGAGGATGCTACATATGTTTTAAAAAATTTGATATGGAGTTCCCCCAAAATCAATATTAGACCCTTCAGAACTGGTACAGATTTTGAGGAGGTACCAGGGCGGACTGACCATTTGGAAACTTGGGCACTGCCCGAGGGCCCGGGGTCAGTAGGGGCCCCATGAGATGCCCCTGGTACCTTTTTCATAGGCTTTTTTGAGTTTTGGCAAGGACACATGGGCCCCATTATCCCCTATTGCCCGGGGGGCCCCATGAGTTTTCAGTCCGCCCCTGGGAGGTACGCAGAAAACAAAAAAAAGGAATGGGGATCCTACCCCATACCAGGCCCTTAATCAAGCAGACATCTCAGACAGGCATACTGAGGCAGGTTGCTATGATGTTTTCAGTTATATACTCCACCCTGCTGGTTACTCCCACCAGTCTTGATCTGCATTTATTGGAAAGAGAGCGCAGTGACATCATCACTGGGTAAAACATAGTGTACGTAATGAAAATGGAAAGCTTTTATTTAAACATTATATTTGCATGCTGGTGAGAGGTAAAAAGCAGGAATCCAGGAAGGAAAATTATAGGCAGAATGAACTTCAGCTTTAATTCCCCTTCTAATTAAAGTTCTCCAAATAAGGAAACATACTGGTAATTGTTCAGCGGATAGAAAACAATTCAAGTACCTAATACTACCCTGCAGTTAGGGTGACTGGATATTCAGAGTAATAAATCAATCCATAAAGTTTTTAGTGAGAACCATTTTTATAAAGACAAAAAGGCATTTGTTTTACTAAGGGAAACAAACACACTATTAGATCTTATTTATAATTTAATATTGTCCATTGTGAAAGCTGTCATTTGTGCTAATTGCGTGCTCCAAATATGCCCTAGGATGTTTCCTGCTGTCCTTTTTTCTTTTTTATTTAGTGCTTAGTATGGGGAGACATATGGCACAGATAGCCAGTTTCTAAGTCTGGTATTCTTGACAACACAAACTTGACAACGTCTGGAAACGACAAGTTGGTAATTCATATTTGTCATTTGGTGTTACCTAAGTCATGTAACGATTACCATGTACATTATTTCCCACAATGCAGCCAGCTGGTACAGTTTCTCTAGATGTGAATATGACATGTGCCTTTAGTTTAAAGTAGCTTGTAGTTTTTTGTTTTCCTCATTTCATTTCCAGTGTTGTTTTATGATGCAGAGATCCAATGTGCTACTGTAACTATCAAAGTTGTGCCTGTTGATGAATGGGCTAATTTAGGATTTATTATGGCTTTTGTGACCCTTTTTTAGCTGTGTTTGTATTTGGTTGAGTGTGATATCACTTGATAATATGTGGCATAGTAGCTGATTGGGCCATGAAAAGGAGAAAGAAGAGACAGAATGTCTTCTAATCATGGGCAGATAAGGCAAAGCAGCAGCGGATCATGGATTAAGGGAGTGTAAAAGAGGAAGAGTAGAATCTGAGTATGGATGAGGAGAAGAGGAAAGATGAGCAGCAGCTGTCTGTGATGTACTGGGAGATTAGGAAGAATAGAAGCTAATGGTAAACATGGGAGGAAACACAAAGGAAGAGTAGGGCAAGTGTTGATCAAAGATGGGAGAAGGAGAATAATGTGGAAGAAAATCTGGTTGTGAGAAAAGTAAAAAAAGAAGCAAAGTAGAAGGTGACCATAACTGTTGGGTTGTAATTGAGGGTATTATGACTAAAGAGGTAAGATGGTGGCTGGCTGGCTTAAGGACAAGTCACCTTAGGCCCCTGCAATGAAAAAAGGTCAAGAATCAAAATGTAACTCATGCACAGTGGCTATAGGTGTAGGGTGCTGTAATGCTCTGCATTGTATGCCAGCACCATTAGATATCCAGTGGTATCTGCATGGTCCCCCGAACCAAATTGTACATTGCAGCAAGAGTAGCAATGCAGCTTGGGACTCAGAATCTTCTCACTGCCTCAGATGTTGAAAATCCCTCCTGCTGCTAAGGCATTCTTCCCAGAGACACCAACGATGGGGCATGTTTTCTTGCACTGACACCAACGATGGGGATTCTCTCTTCTACTGATACAAGCTATAGGGCATTCTTCCTCCCAATAACATCATTGATGGGAAAGTCTTACTCCCAATGACCAACACTGGGTATTTTTTTTAGTCCTACTGACCTTTGTAGCTGGGTCATTTTTTCCTGTTACTATTATATATATTTATATATACAGTGTTTATATACTGTATATAATATATGTATATACTGACAGACTAGCCTTATCTCTCTGTTGAAAGATGAAGATTAAGCATTATGCAGCATGCAAGGATTGATTGTCATGTGGAAGTCTCCCCACAAAAAGAAAAATCAGTCTGGCCAGCCAGTGCTCCCTTCCTAGGAGAGTTAGGCTGCAAGGAGCATCATGTGTAGACACAAGGAGCTGGCATCTAGGCCTGTAAGGCATATAAGA